TCAGTGCAAATCTCTCTCTCTTTGCATAGGTGCTAAACAGTGGTTCCTTTCACAAATCACTCCACATTCAACACACCACAACACTGTTTGAAAGATTACTATTATACCACATTTTCATTTTCAGACTGCATTCCGAGTAGACGTTTTGACTGACAAAGAAATAGAATAAAACTTCTCATACAACACACAGATTGAATAGTCTATGCAAAATGTAGACGGAAACAGACCTTCACATGCCTGACAAAAATCTCCATATCTTCCTAAAGAAAACCATAAAATGAAGAGGCCAGTGGGTGTCTTGGGTATAAGACATATGGGTAATTTAGGTGGTCTTAGTGTGACAATCCACTTTTCTTCTTCACTGCTGTGTCAGTAAGAGCGATGTTGACACATTGCCACATTTGATTTACTGCATAAGAGCACATACACCCAAGGGTTTACCCTGCATCTGAAAACACTGCAAGTTCATTGATTTTAATAAGGACAGTCCATCACAAAGACAAAACGAAAAAAAAAAAAAGTTGTGAAAATGTTAACCTTTGCTGCAATGCGCACTGACAGTCTTTTTGACCAATCGCATTTTATATTGGCTGAATTTCTAAACCCATCCAAACCCTCAGAGTGGATCTAACATACATTTTCCTTCATCAGAGCTTCCTCTAGTGTGTAAGCACCCACTGATACACTAATGAACTTGTCATAACTGTTGTGGTGTGAAAGTTACAATTAACATAAAAACAGTGCCTCCAGGAATTACTACGAGTGTTGACTGCTTTGGAGATTTCCCTGAACTCTTAATTAGATGCAGTACAACTGTGGTCAGACCACTCACACGACTAACCTTACAGATGAATTAAAATTCACTTTAGAAAAGACCTGCCCAAATCCTGCTCCTGGTGGGCTACTCTCTTAGCTCTCAGCATCCACTGAACACTGAGAAGGTCTCAGCTAAACACTTAAAGGCTTACTTATACTTTTGCGATGAATGATCACCAAAGTCATGCGTTTATACTTTTGCGCGCTGTTTGTGTTTATCTGCGATAACACTTTTCGAAACGTTAGCTGACAGTGAGGTTTTTATGTTCCTCTGTGTCGAATTTCTTCATGGGTGTTTTGTTTTTTCTGAATGCTACCTTAATGTACAAGCAGCTAAAAGTCGCTCATTCAGAGGCAGAAACATGCAACAACTTTTATCATAAGGTCAACACAAAACAACAGTTTCCATCTAGAGTTACTTCAAGGGCTCCGGGCTTCGCATGGCTCTTGGTCCCGACCACACTGATCACAGCTACTTAGCCAACCAATCACAGAGCTTGCGCTACATGTCGTTGCAATGTGCAGTTACATTTACTTTGAGAAGTGCATGTCAGTGTTCGTGACAGTCATAGAGAGGGCTTTGCGACGCCGCAAAGGCTACGCTAGAGTATATGTATGCGCTTGAAGCAGAAGTATTAATCAGCCTTTACAGTTGGGCTACAGGAACAAGTTTGCTTTTAGATGCTTCCGTTTTTTAAAAAATCATTAAAAAATGGCTAAACTCTTTCAGATTTTACAAAAAAGAGAGTCTATTCCTGCTCCTGGAAGGCAAATGTCCTGCAGAGTTAAGCTCAAACTCAGTTTAGCTCTGTTTGAAAGTTTCTAGTCAGGTTTAAATTTCTAATAACACTTAAAACCAGACAACCAAAGTCGCCTGGAAGTTCCCCCGGCAATGCCTATTCTCACCCTGGGATGTCTGTGAAACCCCTGTGGTTGAGTCCATACTGTCATGATGTAATGCCATTTTAACTGTTGGGAGGAAATCTGTTTGGACCACCAGTGTGGTCTTGATAGAGGTGTGCATTGAAAGCGTATAGCACCTGCAATGAGAGACACACTACAGAAAGTTAAATCATGAATGGGAGAACCTACTATCTCTTGGGCTTAATGCAGTGGTCCTCAACCACTGGGCCGCAGACCGGTACCAGTCCATGGATCAATTACTACCGGGCTGCACAAGAAATCAATAATTATTTCTGTTTTACTTATTATCTGAGTCTGAACTATCTTATATTTAAAAAAAAAATTCTCTCGTTTATATCTTGGTCACTTGAACACCAAAGAATAACCCACAAGCAGCAAAATGAGTAAGAAATAATCATCTCTGGAAAGTTTCTTTGCTAAGGGGAAGATGCACAACCCATTTGTCAACAAGTCAGGTGAATCCAACATGTGAAAGATCAACTGCTGGAGATCGTAAAGATTGGCGGCCTTTTAGGGGCCATTTGCATACGTATCTTTTCTAGAGTTTCTAGAGAAATTCATATTTCCAATAGAGGTGTGACAAGTATTGACTGGTCCGCGGTGATAAATCAAATCCCACTATTACCAAATTTAACTACATCATGTCAACTTAAAATGCGGTGTATCTGAAACTTGTTTAAACGTTATTTTTACAGAAATGTAAGCTATACATCATATTTGGCATTTAAATTATGTTTTAATCTAGGATTCAGGCTTTGTACTTCATTTGTGTTCATTATAGGCTAATTGAACCATCTATTTTTGAATAGTTTGGGTTTACATTGATTTGTGTTTAACCTCTTCAAAATCTTAACACTGTGCCTTTTGAAAGGGATGAAATGCCATATCATTCTGTTAGTTTTCATTTACATTCATAGAAATACACACTAGTGTGTGATATGTTTCTGTTGTTAATGCTGTTATTTTATATTAATATAACATTCTAGCGTGAACTGTGACACAAAGAGATTGATGCGGCGATTTGTCAGTGTTACTTTATCACTCGGACTTGGCGCCAGAGAGTTAAAGACTTGAACCTGAGCACACAGCCAAAGGGTTTGTCAGAAGTGGGATTTGAACCCACGCCTCCAGGGGAGACTGCGACCTGATTGCATCGCCTTAGACCGCTCAGCCTTCCTGACATGCTGGTTCGAGCCTCGCCTGGGTCAGTTGCCGTTTCTGTGTGGAGTTTGCATGTTCTCCCTGTGTTCGCATAGGTTTCCTCCATGTGCTCCGGTTTCCCCCACAGTCCAAAGACATGCGGTACAGGTGAATTGGGTAGGCTAAAATGTCCGTAGTGTATGTGTTTGTGAATGAGTGTGTATGTGTTTTCCAGTGATGGGTTGCAGCTGGAAGAGCATCTGCTGCATAAAACATATGCTGGATAAGTTGGCGGTTCATTGCGCTGTGGCAACCCAAGATTATTAAAGGGACTAAGCCAAAAAGAAAATGAATTATAAAAAATAACATTCTTTGCTCATTTAACGTTTAACGACTAGTCAAAAATAGAATGAAACATTTTTAATAAAATAAAGCAAACATCCCAAACTGTCATCTGTGGCATTGTGTTTTACATTTAAGTACATGCTCTCACATTGGGGCTGAGCGATTTGGCCTAAAATCTAAGTCTCGATTAATTGAACATTTTAACCTGATTATTATTAATGAATGATTATTTTATTTATTTATTCAATCTTTTTGCCCTCATAGTTCACTAACAAGTTATTATATACTGATAAAGGCATCTCTGGCATAGCTTCCAATCATCGTGAATGTAGAGCAAAGTAAGGCTCAAGAATATGTCCATCATACTATTTCACCACAGATCAGATGGGGCTGCAAAGTGGCCACAGAAGTAATGAAGTGGGGTCACGCAACACGTAGGAAAAGTAATTAAAAAAAATTGTCCTGGAATATTTTGATTAATTATAGGTTATAAATGTCGATTTTGACTACTTTCGATTAATTGGCCAGCTCTATCTCACATTTTTTAATTTTACATTTTGGAACTGGTCAGATTTTTGTGGTGCATTTAGACCTTTCTAGTTTCATCTGGAATGTGTCTCAGGCCCCCTTCAATAAGTGTTTTGAGTGAGCAGATATATTCAACTCCATTTCAGATCTGATCAGAAAAAAAAACACACACACACAAAGCTGACCAGGTGTTAACAGCCATATAGTTTTCTATTTGAAACTGAGCTTTGATAAATTCAGATGTGCTTAATATTTGTTAGAGCTAAACACTGCAGGACAGTAACCCTTCAGGAACAGGTTTCTAAAATATTTATTAGACAACATATGAAAACACACACAATTGATTTTGTCTGTGTTGGAAAGGGTCCAGAAAACACCCCTTTTTCTTTTCCACTGGCTATGTTGCTTGTAGGATAGTGTGAGAACAAGGACTGATCACAACTTTAAAGGGCTTATGTCTTTTCCTTTCACATCTCATTTATCTGTATAATTTAGGGTCAGCACGGGTGAGAGCAGAGAAGAGCTAATTACTGACATAATTCCCGCACTCACATACTCACTCGTATACAGCACACACGCACACACACACACACACACACACACACACACACACACACACACACACACACACACACACACACACACACACACACACAAACACACACACACACACACACACACACACACACACACACACACACACACACACACACACACACACACACACACACACACAAGAAGATGTAGCAGGATGAAAGATTTAGGACATTCCCTAATCTATCCTCATCCCTCATCATCTCCTTCTAGTTGAGCACAGGACACAAGAGAGAGATTCTCCTGCAGAGGGCAGCATTGTGCTCAGATTTAACAGCTGAATTCACTACTTAACACTTCGACCAGTTACAGATACCCCCGTGCTTAAACCAATATTGCAGAATAAGCACATGACTAGTTCAGTAGTAAAAAAAGAGGGGTGCAAAGCCACCCAAAAAGGAAAAAGCATTGGCATAAAATGCACTGAGATCACTGTGTTCTCCAGTCTTACGTTAGATCTTGGATAATCCTGGGTGGTGCAAAGATCAGACAGCTCTTTATGCGTAAAGAGAAATAATGCCTAATTTTGCATAGAAATTTTGCATAGAAATCGGCAGCCATATTCGGTAGTCATTTAAAGCAAAAACGAAAGACGATTTGGATTTTATTTCCAGAATAAACAAATCTGACATACAGTAAAAATGTAGGTAGAAATGTCAACAGTGCTGTGGCCAAAAGACCTTGATTGGGACGACTTGGTGTGTTACACATTCCCTTATCAATCCAATAAAAAGTGTTGCTGGTTTGGTGAATCAATCGTCTACATGGATATGGCCGTGATGGTCTTCCTTTAAACCATGCAAGTTCCATAACTGCTCAGTGGGCGAGATTCCCGATTGACAGCAGACCTTGCCGTGGGTGGTCAGGTTTTTCTGTGTGCTGAAGGTCCGGGAGCAGGCGGGACACGTGTACACTCGCTCGCTGGAATGCACGGACGACAGGTGGCGGTTCAGGTCCGTGCGGTCACGAAAGTGCTTGAGGCAGTACACACATTGCATCAGCTTCCGTTTGAGGTGGATGGTCTTCTCGTGGCGGTCTGCGTTGGACTTGAGAGTGAAGCTGGCCGGACACTGCGAGCAGTGGTAGCGTGCCGGCGGAGGGTTGAGCGGAGACGCGGAGGCCACTAGTGGGCGATGGTGGTCGAGGCAGTCCAGTGAGAGAGCCATAAGTGAAAGCGTGTGGCTGTATTCGTGCTGTCTCAGTTGAAGCAGGCTGCTAAACAGTTGCTTACACAGAGAGCAGGCGAGCTCCTGCCGCCAGCCCGGCCCTCCGCCCTGCACCTCCGCCACACACACTCCATGCTTCTCCTCCACCATCTGATCTTCCTCTACAGGAACCTGGATGCGCTCCAGCTCTGAGAGGGAGGGAGGGAGAGAGAGGTGAGAACTAACGCCAGGATATCAGCTTATGAATGTGAAAAATAACAGGCAGTCATGTGGCGGGCCATCGGCATCACAGACGCCACGCATACCTGCATTGTTATTTGGACTATTGTCTTCCTCTTGCATTTCCTCCTGTAAGAAGACACACACACACATGCAAATCAACACTTGTGTACTTCGGATCACAAGTCTGTATAGAGGTACTCCTCAGGCATGCAAGTTCAAGAGGTAAAACACAGACACAATGGAAAAGGAAGAGATCTTGAAGAAAGAAAGAAAAGCAGAGAAACAGTTGGCTGCAGAACAGTCAAGGCAACAAAACATGAGATGCAAAAGATAGCATACAAACAATGTTAAGTAGAAATATTGTAATGTTATATGCATAAAGCAATATTTGGTACACAGCCAGTAATGTGGTTCAAATTGTGGTTTCTAACAACAGATCCAACAGGTTACGCTCTTGGGACACAAAAGGATATTCGGCATTTGTCTATGTGAATAGGTGTGTGTTTGTTTGGGAGGTGGAGGGTTACAGAGCTGACTGTTTTTTTTAACTCGTGCTCTAGGTGGCATGCAGCTTGTACGTGTATAGGTGTGGCCCATCCCCCTTGTTCTCGATCCGCCCTCCCTTGCGTAAGAGTGACACATTATGGTTTAAGCAAACAGATGGCTTGTCCACAGAGATGGTACAACTTCTTGGGGGGGAGGTCCTGCGAAACCAAATGCCACCTCAGCACACACAGGGAGAATGCAATTTCCTGCTCTCACCCAAGAAAACAAAACCCACCCTGCCCCTCTGCATTTTCCGTCACTATTGATTTCTATAGCCACCTGGATCCCCCTCTTATCAGAAGATGGCAGATATTATCAATATATTAATCAAACTGACAGTTGTACTGGTATTAAGACAATAGGCACCCTCAACTCCATTTTTTTTGTAGTTTTGGTATAGAATCAGCAGAGGTCAATGGAATTAGTTTAAATATGGTTAGTAAACATAACCACTATAGAGTTTAGGACGAACGTGATCGCAAAAAGTACAAATAGTTCATTAGTATGGGTTTTATTGGCTGATTGGTGTCCCCCAATCTTAAATGTCTAATCACATTTTTGCTAAATAGTTATGTATTATTAAGTATTGGAAAATCTACACTAATCTCCAGTGCTTAATTTGTAAATTGCAAGGTCCTGGAACCAATTGGGAGGGGGGAACGGATGGTTTTAAGGACGAAAGTGAAGGGCGGGAGGTGGGTTAGGTTTTTGTCACGGATAAAAGTGAAGAGCACGAGAGAAGGTGTAGAGTGAAGAGGTTTGGGGTGTCACTGAAGAAAGTTAAGAGTGGGTAGAGGGTGTGTGTATGTGCGCGGAGGGGGATCGGTAAAATTAGGTACTGAACCAGATTTCAGAGGTGCCGGATCCAGCTTGTTCCGGCACAAATTAAGGCCTGCTGATCTCACAGGAGAACATAATTTCAAATGAATACATACAGTCTCATCTGTAGGTTTTTTTTTTTATTTAAGCATGAAACCCACACCAATAATTAGCTGTCACTGTGGCATAAGCTGGAAAAAACAGGTCATATAACTTTATACAAATGACTAATTACCCACCAAAATGTTAAATATTTACTAATTGCCATAAGAATTCATTCATTCATTCACATTCTTCAGCTTATTTATTAGAGCTCGCCACAGCAGAATAAACCGTCAACTACTCCGGCATATTTTTTACACAGTGGATGCCCTTCCAGCCACACTCCAGTACTAGAAAACACCCCCAGACTTTCACATTCACACACACATTCATGCACTATGGCAATTTTAATTCATTATGAACCTGTGCACTGGTCTTTATTTTGCTCACAGAAAGATAAAAAGAAAAAGACAGAAACATGAATTAAAAATGTGAAGAACATGCAGTAGCAGAGCAGCAAAAAAAAAAAAAAAAAAAAAACTGTGAATCTACAGAAACAAGACATTCTTAAAAAAGATATATCAAGAGACACAGAACTGAAAGATAAGTGGCCTATTGGGTGTTTGTTGGACTTACCTCAGTGGGTGAGGCCTTCGGGGCCTGTTCCGCATAGAGCTTGTCTGGGGGGCCGCCAGACTGTGGCATATAGTGGGCCCCTGGGGGCTGTAGCATGGATGGTGGAGGCGGCAGAAGAAGAGGAAGAGGAGGAAGAGTAGATGGAGGAGAAGATGAAGACGCCCCGTGTTTGCTACCAAACAGGGCCCCTGGATGGTGGGAGCTGCTGCTGCCATTGGAGCAACGAGGCCCTGAGGAGCACAGGAAATGAGTCTCACCCACCTACTCTCAGACCAGCGGCCATCTTCCACACAGCAGCAGAGAGAGAGGAGGAGGAAGAGGAGGAGGGGAAGAAGGGGGCAAGGGGCACACATAGCCTTCATTTAGAACCAGAGAGAGGGAAGAAGGAAGAGATGAAGAGACCGGAGTGGGGTTAGGGCTTGGCCTCTCTCGCTCTGTTTTTTGGTCTTCTCAATCCACCCACGAGCCCACGCTAGGGATGGCCATATGTGTGTGTGTGTGTAAGTGAGAGATAAAGACATTGAAAAGAAGAGGCTTTTAAACGATGGGTGGAAGTTCTCTTCATTTTAAAACCATGTCAGGCTACTTGCCAGAATCTGTGCAAAAGTTCAAACATAATATACATGTAGCCATGCGATTCAGCAGACACCAAGAGTAGGAGAGGTAAAAGTTCAAAGAAAGGTAAAATATTTATACAAATTAAGGACTAAGGTGACATTTTAGCTGACATTTTGGTGGAAGGATGGATGAATAGATATGTGATTTGTCTTTAACTCTTTCTCCACCAGTGACTGGGAATCTTACGGTACATAATTTTTGCCACAACACTTCCCTGCCATTTACAGGCTTTTTCATGCAATCCATGTAAAACTTCCAGAAACAAAAATTCTATTTGACACCAATTTGTTAGGTAGAAGTCTGCTCATAGATTGTTTCAGTCTCAGCAAATTGCACAAAGTGGCCAGAAAGGAGGCACTCGCCAGCACTATCCTGAAAGCTAAAAGGATGAATAGGAGACTCTATTGTCAGTGGTGGGCAAAAATGGTCCTAGACAGCCACTGTTCCTCAGAGCTTTAAATCAGTCTTGATAAAAACATCACCTGCCTTTAGCATTCTAGTAATCCGTGTGCTTTGATTAGGCTGTTCAGGTGTGTTTGTTTAGGGTCGGAGTGCAACTCTGCGGAACTGTGGCTCTCGAGGACCAAATTTGGCAACCCCCCATCCTGTGAATCTCATTTATTTAAATTTTTAGTTTAATTACATTAAATAACAGAGGTATAACTTTAAAAATACACACACCTAACATTTTAATGAAAGCATTCAATTGCTTTCCTAACTTTTCATGCTCATTTAGGACAAAAAAAGCTCACCAAGATCGACATCTTTAGATATTACTATTATTAATTATGTGTATATGTCTATTCAAACACGCACCCAAAACCCAGACTTTTGGTCCACTTCAAATCACGTGTACAGAATCTGTTTGGGAAACATTGTCTATTATTCATTATGAGGCACAACGTTTAAATAAAATGAAAGCACAGAACAGACTAACATTTAAGAGCAAGGGGCGTCCCCTTGTGGTTCGGAGGTATGGGTTTGATTATAGGGAGTATAGGCTCTTTAAAGTTTATTTCCACTATTCATAAAAAGATTGAAAATACGGAAGACAAATAGGAAAATACCTTTGCAGGATGATAGCGGGATAGAACTGTAAAATACGGAAGAATCTCGGGAAAAACAGAAGGGGTTGAGAGGTATGCCCCTGACCCCTGTAAAGGGGGTCTGTAAAGTCAGAATTATTAGAATTAAGAATTTTAGAATTTAGAATTTTTTTTCAAATATTTCCCAAATGATGCTTAACAGAGCAAGGACATTTTCACAGTATAAAAGCAGTTTTAAATTTTTAAACACTGTTTTAAGGACCTAATTATTAGATCCTGTAATATATATATATATATATATATATATATATTTTTTTTTTTTTTTTTTTTTCAATAGTCTACAGAACAAATTATCATTATACAATAATTTACCTAATTACCCTAACCTGCCTATTTAACCTAATTAACCTTGGTGTCTTGAAAAATTTCTAGTTAAATATGATTTACTGTCATCATGGCAAAGATAAAATAAATCAGTTATTAGAGATAACTATTATGTTTAGAAATGTGTTGAAAAATTCTTCTCTGCGTTAAACAGAAATTGGGGAAAAAAATAAACATCGGGGCTAATAATTCAGGGGGGGCTAATAATACTGTCTTCAACTGTAAATTTGCACTACATTGTTTGCAGCTTGTTTAAACATTGTTGGTAACACCCTGTCCTGTGGATCTAACAGACTCATGCCCACATTGTTATGTCCACATGTACACCATTTTCCCACCTTTGATTTAAAAAATATCCATCCACATAAAAAAGCAAGTATGCACTGGGATACATTGTTAAGGAACTTAGAATAAAGCTGTGTTAACCAATCAGAAAGCAGAAAATAACGTTCATGCTGATGTCAAAAACTTAGTGGCCTCATGACCACACAGTTACCAGAGTTTCTACAAATCTCCATCCTGCTGGAGTTTTTATAATATTTTAGTGACCTGATATTACGTTTTTATTTAGATGAGCAGCCAAACCATGTAGTAAAATGAAGGTTTTGAAAATACCCATGTTCATGTGGACAGGGCTTCATTGCGCTAAACCACAAGTGCATATGAAGTGTGTTATTTGTGATTAGGCTATACCAGCAGTTCTCAATTGTGGTCTTCGCAACCACCACACATTTTGTTTGTCTCTCTTGTTTAACAAACCTGATTTAGAAAACCAGTTCATTAGAAGTGAGCTCTATAAAAGGACAATGTTTTGCAATTGACATGTTTTCTACATATTGTTTACTGCTTTCTACCCCCTGACAATATCTGTCAACATTGGAATGTGAAAATAAGCGATATGCCCACCATAACAATTTATTTAGATTTTTCTTTGATTACATTAAATAACAGAGGTGTCACTTAAAAAATACACACATCTAACATTATAATGAAAGCATTCGATTTCTTTCCTAACTTTTTATGCTCATTTAGGACAAAATTAGTGGTGTTTGGATAAGCTCAACAAGACCGACATCTATAGATGTTATTATTATTATTATTAATTATCTGTATATGTCTGTTCAAACACGAACCTAAAACCCAGACTTTTGCTCAGCTTTAAATCATGTGTATAGAATTTGTTTAGAAACTGTATCTATTTATCACTATAGAGCACGTCAACTGACAGTCATGCACCGCTATACGACTGTTATTACAGCACCTGTAATAAAAAGGAAGTGAATTGCGTTTTTTATATTTATTTTAAAGTGTTTCCATGCCTAAATAAAATGAAAACACAGAACAGACTAACATTTAACAGCAAGGGGTGTCCCCTGTGGATTCTGTAGTATGGGTTGCGTATAGGAAGGATCATTGTTTAATGCTTAATACCACCCTTCGTAGAAAGATTGAAAATATGGAAGAAATATGAGAAAATACCTTTACAGGATGATAGTGGTATAGAACTGTAAAATATGGGAGAATCCCTGGAAAAATGGGAGGGTTGAGAATGCCTCTGACCCCTGTAACCGGCTGTACATTACATTGTTTGCAGCTTGTTTGAACATTCTTTGAAACTTACATTGTTTGAAACTTATTACAGAAGTGTAAAGTTAGGTTGCTGTGATTCGTCAGTATAATCAATGATGATAACTAGTTGTTATCAATATTTTTAATCGACTGATCCTTTTATATCATTTTAATTTGACCTTTTTAAATCTCATTTTCATTTTTTTGAGTAAAATAATCACAGTAATTACAAACCATTATTTAATAAAATGTATGCTGTTAAGTAACTAAATATTTAACTTATATTAAACTAAAAAAAAACTAGTCAGGATAGAGGGAAAGATGAATGCAGCAATGTACAGAGACATCCTGAATGAAAACCTGCTTCAGAGTGCTCTTGACCTCAGACTGGGGCGACAGTTCATCCTAACATAAAAATGTAACATAAAAAATGTGAAAAAGTGAAGCGCTATGAATACTTTCTGGATGCACTGTATATTAGCTTATAGGCAAACCGGCTGATTGACTTTGAAATGCTCCAGTGTGCCTGTATCTGTGGTTACACTCAGTAAACAGCGGTGAGTTCGGTGAACTTATGACCTTTACAGTAAGTCATTTCTGTTGAAAACGTAAACACAATGACAAATCAGTGGTTTTTTAGAATACGCTCAAGAGCACTCAAGTGTAGCTGTTTTTAAAATTTCACAATTGATTGGAACCGAATTCCATATATATATATATATATATATATATATATATATATATATATATATATATATATATATATATATATATATATATATATATATATATATATATATATATTTGTATAACTAAATACATTCCAGGGAAATTTCAGTAAAAAAGTTTCACCCCCAGATAAAAGCCTTCTAAATTCTTTACTTGATACAGCATCTTTAAATACTGCCGCAAGACATGACATAACATGTGCACATTTTTCAGACCTGTTCTAGACCTAGATTAAATGTGAGAGGTCAAATAGAACGTATCCTGGGCTACTGGGCTACTTTCAAGCCGCTGTGTTTCTGAATGTCTTTTTTTGGAGAAGAAGAATGTTTGTGGACTCCTGTTGTTGGTTGCTGGTTAAGAGCTAAGTGGACAGATGCACATGCTACAGTAATGCATAACCACCAACAGATTCCTGGAATTCTCTCCTACACGTCCACTCCCAACTAACACACTTCGCCCTCTCATTTCTCTTTCCTCACGTCCACAATCTGCAATCGTAGTCGTGCCTCTGACTCTTCTATAGCAATTAACAGCAAATGAATCTAAATGTATGGTTCACATCAAACCGTCATTGTCTCGTATTTGCAAAATTCCCTACTGAAATGCACTGTGCTTGATGGCCATTGTAAAAAGTTTCCAGGAATTTCTTCAGAACAATTTGGTGCAGGTTTGATAGGATCTGAGGCGCATTTGACCTAATTACCACCAACTGTGGTCCATTTACAATAGAATTTTAAACACAGATCACAGGTCAGTGTTTTA